TATAACAATGGTCCAGACGCTGACTCACGGATCATTGAGTCAAATCAGTGCCTGCAACTTTTGGCGAACAGCAACAAGTGGTTCATGGATGGCACCTTTTCCATGGCACCCCGCGACTTCATGCAGGTGTACGTGGTTCGAGTTCCCTTGGCTGACGTTATTGTATCTTGTGTCTACGCATTTCTTCAGAGGAAGACAAAAGAAGTTATTCCCTTTGTCTGTCTGTCTGTCTGTCCGCCAGAGGCCTGCGCGAGTGAACGTTTCCAAACCCGACCCGATCGGCCCGATTCGAATCGTAGTTCTACCCGACCCGAAACTCGAACGCCAGACCGAGTTTTGCGAACTCCACCCACGGGTCGTGTATGGCCGAAGGACCGGCCCGCGGCCCGCTCAGGCCTCTAAGCTTCAGAACTCGGGGTCTCTGGGTTCATCCTCTTTCTAAGAGGCTCTGCCGGACTCTGCTGACGCTTCCAGCTATCCCATGACGTCACGTTCGGACTGGGCTGTTCAGTGCTCTCATCGTTCGCGACGTTCCGCTGTCAGCTGCTTGCCTGAAAGTGACGTCATTTAATTACGTGTACGCGTCGAGCGTTGGCGGAACGAGTTGTCCGTTTTGCCAACAGCTGTAGGCAGCTGGAGAAAAAGATCCCGCTGATAGTGCATTCGCCTGCACCAAACAGGAATCTTGATGGCCTACCGAGCTGCAGGTCGATCCGCGGGTCGGGTTGGTCCAGTAGAGCTGAAACTCATCCCGGGCATGGTTCAAAATCATCTCATCCAATGCCCGGCTGTTCGAAATTCGAACGAAGTATCTCACTCGAATGCTACGACGCGGCACCCCCAGAAGATTTGATAATAGCCGACGTCCTCCGTCCGTCTGTCTGTCTGCCGGAGGCCTGCACGGGTCGACTTTTTCGAACTCGACCCAATCGGCCCGATTCGAACCGTGGTCCTACCCGACCCGAAACTCGATCGCCAGATCGAGCTTTGTGGACTCCACTCGCGGTCGTGTCGGACCGATCGGGCCGGCCCACAGCCCGCTTCGACCTCTAAGCCTCAAAACTTGGGGTCTCTGAGTTCGTCCTTTTTCTTAGCAAATCTGCTGACACTTCCAGCTATCCCATGACGTCACATTCGTGCTTACTTTTACTTTGAAATATAAGGAATTTGAGGGAGGGGGACGTGAATGTTTTACGGGTAGCAGCTAGTTATTTAAAAGTTAATTAGTTGAGGATATCTCTATATTATCATTTTGCTATAAAACCCATTCCGCATTCATTTAATGCTTATTGCGTAGCAGGAACAGAGAGGAATATATCCTATAAATCAAGGGCGTGCAACCCGCGGGTCGCGGGTTCTTCTCATTGCCAAAGGCTATATTTGGGTTGGGTGGGGACGAGGTAAGGATTATCGGCCAATCAGCGCGACCTTATGCCCTCATACGCCCTGAGGACAAAAGAGGGGAGCCTTTTCTTTTGCATTCTATGGCCCGCGTGCACATTTTCATGCGGCCCACTGCGGATGAAGGTTGCACACCCTTGTTATAAATCATAGGGACACGAGACTGAAGAACGCATATACAGTACTTCCTGATACCCATCCGCAGTTGGCATGGTCCCAATATGATGTCATGCGCTTCAGCCAATCAAGTACTTGTGCTGCCAAGGAACCTTTACGACCTCTGCGCTTGAATCAGTCGTATTAAAAGAATCCGACCCATGGAATTGGCTTATGAGAAGAGATTGCTCACGAACAATAATTTGTTATGATCGAGTTAAAATGGTTACGATCAAAACAAGTTCTTGACTTCTTTTCTTTAAACTCTACTTTAAATTATTTTTTTAATTATTTTTTCTTCTAATTTATCTATCCCATTCCGGATCAACTTTAACATATTGACCGCCACCATTTTTATTATTCACATGCCACAGAAATTTGGAAAAGAAAGTTTTTAAGAATTATTAATATCCAATCTTTCATATTTTTTACTCAGTCACAGAAATTCGAAAAAAGCAATGATTAATATCCAGTACTCCATCATGCAATGTTAGAAATCAGACAAGGCCGTATTTAGGGGGGGGGGGGAGGTTCATGGGGTTCAACCCCCCCCCCCCCCCCAGGGGGGGGAGGTTCATGGGGTTCAAACCCCCCCCCCTAAATATATTCCTTAAATTTTTGCCATACTGCTATTCGTCTGTGTAAAACGGTGCAGTACTTTTTCAATCTTTAATAGTTTCTTAAGTCTTTTCAATCTTTAATAGCTCATGACTTATTAAACACTGCAACTTGCAGTAAAATCCAGATATCTCACAAAGACAACGACAATGATAATGACAAGTATTAAAAAATAGCCACAGCGCATACACCAGACCTCAACCCCTCCCCAAAATGAAATCCTAGATACGGCCCTGATATCTCGTACTAGGCGTCTGACATGGAAAATGTAGTACGAGATATCTCTTACTAGGCGGTCAATGTGCTAAAGTAGATCCGGAATGGGATAGATAAATTAGAAGAAAAAAATAATAATAAAATAATTTAAAGTAGAGTTTAAAGAAAGGGGGGGGGGGGGGGGGGGGGAATGGAGGAAAATATGCTCAGAAACGATTCCAAAAATACTTAATTTCATTGTCAGATATTTATTTATTTCATTAATCTCAAACTGTTGGAAGTGACCGCAGAACTCGCAAAAGGTTTATGGGTTTACTTTCTATGCCAAAATAAAGTTAAAGAAAACTCAGTTCTGCCATTTTCATAACGCACTCGGGACAGAACTCCCCTGCTATTCTGTTTGGCATTTACACCATTAATAAGTTTTTTTTTTTTGCCCCTATTCGCGCAAACCTTGTCTGCCAGATTTCTCTTGTCTAAACTGTTATTTTAAGAGTCATGGATCCCGTCGTTGGGGAATTCTAGTTCGCTTGCATCAAGACCGGTCGAAAGGGATTTAAATGATACAGCGGAAGAAAGTGAAAACGAAAACTTGAGAGTGCAAGCCCCGACGTCTTTCGGGGGGATTCCGAGCACTCCACACTCCCGCCCTCAAATGCGAGAAAAACCATCTCGATCGAGAACCTCTCCGAATTGAGTACCCTCAGAGCAGCCGCTGGGGTCGAATCGAGTCTCCCAGGATTACAGGATTAGAGGTTACATCTGTTTCATGAAGTTGCTGGGGGAGGATTAGCTGTCCTTCCAAATATAGCATTCAAGAGCTTTGCGTCCATGCCTCTCGCTCCTCGCACTAAATTCTTTCTAATCGTATTGGAGAATGGCAGAGGGAAGAGTAGCCTACACCTGGTTTACCTTTTTTTTTTATTTCGAGGCCACAGAGGAAAACAAAAAAAAAACACGAAAGCGATAAAATGCGCCGTTGCTCCTGCCACTGATGCAAGGGCGTCAATGTAGACTCCTTACAATTCTGCTTCTTCAACATAAAAGTTGACGAAATCTCATTATTTTAGGATTTCATTTATTAAATTTGGGTTACTTTACGGTAAGATCGACTTAAGATTTTTGGGGGGACCGTGTTAAAAATATTTCTCGACACCACGAACCTGCTAGTGGAATTCCTGAAATCCAATTATTCATGCCAAAAAGTAATTAGCTTCAGCATTAGACGCTACTTCTTGATGAAAAAAAATTATGGCTGCACTGACGCACTCCTCTTTGAGATGTACCCAACGCCAAGGGGGAGACAATTACAGCCCTTTTACAAGGTCATTTGTCATGCCCTGGAGTTTTCACCCTTTGTGGGTGTTCAAAGATCTCTCCAATCTCTCCAATGCCTGGGTGGCCTATACCTGCCCCATGCTGATGAATGTCCAATGTGCTTGTCTCAGATCTTGGAAATCTCAGCTGATGGTTCGTTTGAAGAGTCGCAAATAAGCGGTGACTCGGGAAATTTTCCGCACATGGAGCCACTGTCACTCGCAAACGGCCTCATGTACCTGCACCTTACATGATTCATACGTATCTGCATTTCCCAAACCCATCATTGGGCCAACGCAGAACACGGCTCGCACTTGATGTTCAGAGTGGCCTCTGAATCTGAATCAACTGTATATATCTACGACTGGCATCATCGCATGCAGTGTAGTGAGACCAAAGGTATCAGGGAAAAGCGATCGCCATGGAGTTAACTTATTTCATGCTCCTTGTCTCTCTTACTGTCCTTATTCACGGACAGGTTGAGTAGTGATTCCACCGAGTGATTCCATCTTATGTCGAGTCTCGTGATTTCAAGTTATGGGTTTCCGTTCCAGGAGCCGGCGAAGAGGCAGATACCGCCATGTTCCACATATCTCCAATTATCTCAGGGACAAAAATCAACTCTGACCACCGGGAACAATCCCTATTTCTACTCTTGCAGATGGAGATTCACCGTTAGTCAAAGATCTAGAATCACCTCTCCACAGGCTACATCACAACTCGAGAGCTTGAACTCTAACTCAGGTTTATGTTCCTTCTCTCTTAGTGCCCGGTGGACATGTATCTTCAATGCTCTGCCGTCGTGATACCTTGCCCTTCGGCGAACTTCATCGTCAATCAATACCCGTATATTCCAGAGACTTTTCTTTCGTGTTTCTCTTGATCCTGTATGATTGACGCTGAGACGAAAGACAAAATGTTTTATTGTGAAGAATTTGTGGCTCGGGGATACTGAACTCATGGAATGCGGGAAGGGATTTATCCGCCGAGTACTACCGGTATAGCCAAATCAGTGGCACTGGATTGGCTTGCACCGTAACCTGTGGTCAGTTTCGCGTCATACCAAACATATATAATGCAGTTTTGTCCGGTTTCTTTCTTTACCTTTCTCTCTCTCATGTCTCTGATAGGTTCTGGCAGCGGTGGAACTTCAAATTCTGGTTGCTGTGAGCATGTCGTGCTCGTGGACCGGTATTGCTAAAAAAATTTCGTGAATTCCTTTTTTTTAATACACCTTCCCAGATTGTGGCGTGTCCCAGGCGGGTCAATCAGGCAAGAGATCGGCGGGGACGAACATCACAGAGGAGGGGACATTGGATGTGGATAGGATCGTCGGCGGGTGGACGGTGACAAGCCAGCAAAAGTATCCTTGGATGGCCTATTTCGGGGAATGCGAAGGCGCTCTGATCAACGATCGATACGTCCTCACCGCTGCTCATTGCATCTCGACTGAGTCAGTTTCTGTTCATTCACTCAGTCATTTGCGAAGTTCTCTGGGCCTCTCAAGTTTTTATTATCGCATAGTAAACTGTAAACAATTACTACGTGACAGTGATTACGCGTGCTACATAACTCATGAAAAATTGGATACCAATGTCAGTCCTTTTCATTGGGATATTAGTACTTTTCAGCAATGAATTTGTACATATCATGAATATAATACTTTATTTCATCTGATAAATGACACCCCCCATTGTTTTATATATTGGGTTGGAAAGAAAGTCTTGCAACACTTTCAAAAACTATTTATAAAAATTTTCAAAGGAATGATGGCTTTGCATTTGTATATGCTGGAATGTTCTCGAAGCTTCTGCCCTCGAGGTATATAAGGCGGTTTCTGCCATTAGTTGGCAGCTATGGCTCCGATCGAACAAGCAACTATTCGCCCCATCGTCTAATACGAGTTCCTCCAAGGACACTCGGCGAGAGCCGCCACGGACAACAACTGCGCTGCACTCAAGGGCAACGTCGTCCACTATTCCACGGTGTCTCGATGGTTGAAACGCTTGGAATCTGGCGACACGACCTTCAGAGATCGACCACGCTCAGGACTTCCATCTACAGTTGATGACGAAGCCCTGCGGAACGCCCTCAACGCGAAGCCGAACGCCACCACTCGCGAATCGGCGACTATACTTGGAGTCACCCATATGTCCATCGGCAACCATCTGAACGACCCCGGCTATCGGAAGGTTTACTCGACGTGGGTCACTCATCGGCTCGGCGACTCTGACAAAGCAAGCCGTGACAGTGTCTGCGAATCACTACTCCTTCGTCCGCACAGAAAGGACCTTCTGAAGGAAATCGTTACNTCTGAAGGAAGTCGTTACTGGAGATGAGAGCTGGGTCCTCTACGTCGACCATACTCGCAAGAGTCAGTGGCTTCCACGAGGAAAATTGCCGCCACACGAACCGAAACCAGGGTTCCACGAGAACAAGGTTCTTCTCTGCTGTTGGTGGGATTCAAAAGGAACGTTGTACTATGAGCTCCTCCCAACCGGTACTACCGTGACTGCCGTCGTCTACGCTGATGGGAACATGTCATAGACAACAATGGTCATTACACTGTAGACTGCAATAGCATTTCAATAAAGTTATAAAATGTTGACAAATTTGCGCAGAGTGTTGCAAGACTTTCTTTCCAACCCAATATTTTCGAGACATTTGACTTATTTATTCATTTCATTGAAATGTAGCCAGTCGGGGAAGTACACAGTGACGCTGGGTGACCTGGACAAGTCAACCGATACCGAAAGCCGTACTATCAGCATCTCATCGAGAGCCATCGTCCATCCGCAATATAACCAAAGGACGCGTGACAACGACATAGCCTTGCTGAAACTGGACTATCCTGTGAATTTCCAGGCTAATCCCAACATCCGCCCTATCTGCCTCTCGTCCTCGGCTCAACCATCAACGGGCCAAGCTGTTGCTATTGCCGGATGGGGTTCCACGTACTTCGGTAAGCCCAGTTTTACCTCCTGCACTTCGGTTGCACTCTTTTCATGGTCATTGCTTCATAAAGCTTAAGGACTTGAGTTTTTTTTTTGGCTTTTCCAAATCTGTATTTTCTGGTTTTCGGATCGAAACTGTCGAAATCATCGATAGATTAAAGCCATTTTGTATAGTTCAGTATAACTGAAATGACTAGAAAGCGTCATGCAAGTTCGAGGATCAAAAGGAGAAATTTGTCGTGATATGCACTAATTTTGATTGTCTTGAGGCAGGTGGATCAGGGGTGTCGGTGATGAGAGAAACCGTGGTAAATGTGGACAGCCAGACAACTTGTCAGAATGCCTACAATAACCAAATCACCAGCAACATGTTCTGTGCTTCTGCTTCTGGCAGGGATGCTTGTCAGGTGGGTAAAAGGGGAACCACCGTGAATGATGAGAATCTGCAGAAGGGCAAGGCAGAATTGCATTAAAGCTGAAATAAAAATATATTACGCGACAGTGTAGGTAAAAGTTGCATTGGAAGCAGTGGCGGCTCGTCAGGGTAGGCACGTCAGGTCGGGCCTAACCTGGACCAGACAAGAAAGAGAGCACCGAGAGATGACGCGAATTTAAGTAACTTTTACTCCATCTTAACTTCTATATGACAAGGTTTCGGAATGCCTCCAGCCAGAATAATATTATGGTTTCCTCGTGAGAGTCAGTACATTTGGCGACGTACCGGAAACGAGTAAAGCTATAAATAAATGGTTGGAAGACTGCTGTCTGCTCAGAACTGCTGGGCCCGGGCTTCCCCCAATCGCTGGTAAGTCGGAGCATTCGCAGTTCCAACCTAGGCCAACCTCTTCCTGGCCTAACCTGATCCTATTCGCTGGAAGCGGGATGGATGATTTAAGGGAGAAAGGGCAGTCTTGCAGCGAAGAGAACGATTGAGACTTAGAGAGAAGAGGCCTGAGTGCTACGTTGCCAAATCTATGCAGTATTGCCAGATATTCTTCCACGCCCTACTCCACTTCTTCCACTCCGATGAAATTAGAATCCAACAAAGCTAGTTTTTTAGTTTCGTTCACCTGTTTTATCAGCACCACGGCTCGCGTAGGTCTTTTATTCCTTCAGATCGCTCTCTTCTTTTCTCCTGCCCCCGGACTTCCCCCTGGCAGTGATTTATGCAATGGGTTTCGAGTCGCTGATGTCACGTTTCCCCAACCAATCATATATGCGAGCATAACTCTGTATATATTTTTAGATGTTGCATTAATATAGTCATATCATACTTATATAACAATGCAAGTCTGAATGTGAGAAGAACATTTTTAATGCTAGAATATATTAAGCAATAACTCATTGGCTTGCATACGTTTTCTATCATAGTACCGATGATCAAGCGAAGGGTAATGTGAAAGCGGTGATAAATTCATATTTGTACCGCATTATAGGCTTCGCAGACGCAAAATTATAGAAACGGGAGACATCAGTTTCGACTTAGAACTTAGTTTTTATTCAAGAAGTGATGAAAAGAGGCGAGAACTTTTCGAGAACGGAAAGTCCACGCCAGATCTCCAAATCTTGCAAAAAGACGGGGCGAAAACTCGTACTTTCCGTAAGATCTGGTACGAAAACTTGAGAAATGAGAAGTGCAAAGAGGGACGATTTAGAGACAATTGGTCCGGAACCAAACCATCGGCCAGTAGATGGATTTAAATTTCTTAGTTTTTGCAATCGGGAAACTAACCTCTAAAAAAATGAATAGAAGCATTGCTGAAACCTTTAATAAACTTTAAATTAATATTTAAGAAACGATTCAGAGTAATTATAGTTGCAGGAAAGAAGGGAATAAACATATCCCACTCCAGAAGCTCACGACTCGAACGAAAGGTTGCAATAAGAAGTGATGGTGACGCAGAAAAAAATGAGTAATTCGGTAAGAGGCCTCAAACAGACGAAGTCCAACATGTTGAAGTGGCAGAGCGAAGATTGCCAGGACTGCTCTCCCGGCGACATGCGAATGAACGACTCTCTCAGCTCAAGTTCGACTTGTCTCGAGAAAACTAGATTAGCTTAGGGCCCCCTCTACACTTGGTGGTCAGAGCGCTTCACTTCGTTCAAGACGCACGCTAAAAAATCATTTTCCGGGTTTCCGTCACACATTTTCTTGGCATCCTGGAGTTAACCCAGTGGTGTAGCGAGAGTCTCATTGTTCGGGGGGCCAATGAAGTCTTATGAGGGTCTAAAAAAAACCTTAGGTACGCTTGGGGGGGAAGAGGGTGGGAGCCAGGACAGCCCCCCTTCCCTGGCTACGTCACTGGCCTACCCTACACTATGAACCACAAGCCGCCACTGATAGGAAGTAAAGAATGCGAAATAAGAACCAACATGAAAGAAGAAAACAGCATAAATGAGAAATAATTAAACTCTAATGAAAGGTTAGTATGGTAGGGGAGAAAACATTAAACTTTACGTTGACGATAGATTCACATTCCTGTGTATTAGGCGCATCCAGAATTTTTTTTTCATCCCTGATTATGGCATTTAGGGTGACTCAGGAGCTCCGGCGATGTCATGGATCTCGAGAGGATATTATATACAGATCGGGACCGTCTCGTTCGGAAACGGATGTGCGATGCCGGATTACCCAGGCGTCTATACGCGAGTCGCCAGTGAGTACATGCGTTCATTCGTATTTTCTTTCGGCTTCTTCATCGTGCTCTCTCGATCGACAGTATCATACACTCATGGTAAATAACCTACAACAATGTATTGAGCAATATTGAGAAATTAGGTACACAAACTCATGGCAATATGTTATGATTTGAATTGAGTTCCAAGGGAGTGGTATGACTATGCGGAGAGAAAACTCGCTAACTGCTCTTATTAAAGTGGAGTGAGAGATTAATCGTCCGAAACATAAACCAAGATGTAGATAATTGATGAAACTTGAGAATTGGAAGTCAGTCATTTGAGTTGCTGGAGGCAGTTTTTAGCGTGAATTAGGTCCACATCGTCTCATGCAGTCTAAGACCATCGGCCAAAATAACCGACCTCGATGAAACTCCTAATCGAATTGATGGAATCTCTTTCGGACTCGTGGTCTGAGCATAGCTTCCCAGCTAAACACGCACCATTGGTACAAGGGCAACGTGGCTTGAGGGAAGAACAGGAAAATGGGGCTGTAAATGAAACTTCCCTTCACATTATCTGAGCATTAGGCAAGTTTTATTTGCATATCCATTATGACCCTGAAACTTTACTTCATTTTTCTACACACCTTTAGGGTTTCTTTTCTGTATTTCATCATTAAGATCCTACGTATTCCCTACGCACTCCTTCGTTTTAAGCAATTAATAGGACCATTAGCCCACTTTAAGTTTGGGTGTACGGTGAGTTCTCTCTCCATAGGTTCCTTCTTTGCCATCACACCCTAAATCGATTTTATGACATCGCTGAGTTCGTGTGCCTAATTTAACCAATATTGTTCGATTTCTTCTTGGTGCTGCTTTTATTTTGGCGATATGTATATATCACATCCTATTCCAGATTACGTGAACAACTTCATCCTTCCGAACACAAATGATGCTAATTGGTGTTCACCGCCTTGAAGAAATTCCCTGTCTTCATTGATTTCAAGTCGAGTCAGAATAAAAAAGAGTCAGAGCAACAGCACTTATTGAGCGACAATTCCCTTATTCATTTTGGAATATCTTGGATACAAAAGCACTCAAAGAGTGACTATCGCTGTTACTGAATTATATTCAATAAAAAACGAATCTGCAGACTTATATTCAAGTAGACGTACATGCGTATTAAACGCAGCAAAGGGAATATTCAGCTGCCAGCGCGTGGAGCTCGGCGAGTGCAACAAGGCTCACCCACTCGGACGTCTTTAAGGATTCGCTCAATCGCACCGGGGAATCAGTGAGAAATGAGCTAACTAGTGTGCTCCACGTTAAAAAGTTGAAGGGATGGACTGGTAGGAATACCGCTATCCTTATTGCATTCCTGTGAACAGGATATATTTCTAGCAGCTGCTCTGGTGCGCGATTCCACAGGTGCAATTCCACAGGTGTGATTCACACCTTCTGTTATTTGCCATTCATGTTCCTTGTCCAGGCAGAAAATCGCAAAATACGCAATTGGAAGTTCCCTAGAAGTTGTTTTTATGCTACAAGTCTTGGTTGCGCTCATCCATCCTTTCAACTTCGCAACTCGGAACCCATTTCCCATTTATTTGGGTTGGTGGTATTCCTGAAGCTATGCAGCTAGATGATACCTGTGGTATTTGCCCAACTCCACGAATAAACGGCGAAATACTCCTCTTGTTGCGTTTCAATGCACCACTTTGTATACAGAGTGGAGCATAATTAGCTTGCAAGTGTTCAATACTGGAAATTATTTGTATGTAAGAGTAATAAAAATCACAATTAGTGGTTAAATCATGTTTTATTACAGGTAAATGGGAATAATTGATACATAGAACGCCAAATCAACACTTTTAGTCAAATTTGTTTCCCTTCTGCCTCCATTACATAAATTTAATAGGTAATTATGCTCCACCCTGTATGTTCCTATGATGTCCTTGACTTTGTTGGTAACCATCTCCACTTGTTTTTTTTTTCCATGAGTCTTGTTCACTTCAAAACAGACAGGAGTGAATTTTTCTTCACATTAGCGCAGTAAAGAAGAAAATCGAACCGGAAGTAAGCCTCGTCATCCCCCAATGATGATCGCTTTCTCTCAGTTAAAGGATCGAAACTGCGTTCTGCCACTTCAAGAGTCTGAAACAGGAATCATGGCCAAGGTCGACACCCCCCTAGGGCTTTAATATAGGAGAGACAGCGCCTTGAGGAGAGAGCATACAGACTCAGGAGGAAAACAGGAAAACCGGGTCTTCGCACGCAGAATGTCTTTGCTGCTCCAATGGTTCAACGAAAAATAAGGAAACGCTGGGAATCATATCGGGACTGAGAGAGGAACCCCCGTCTCTGAAGGCGGTTTTCGGTACGAGGGAGAAAGTTTTCCATTCTCTTGAATGGGACTTGTTATAGGGAAGCGGCAGAGACCGGAACTTTTCCAATGTAATTAACCCCCTTTGCAGAAATGTACGATATGCATCAATCAAATCGAAGCTTACGATCTCCCTGAAAACTTTTTTGAGAAATATGCATGCAAATATGTACTTGGAATATTGTGGTTGGACAGAAATCATTTGCAGTCCATGGGATTTAGTTTAAATCTACTATTTATCTATTTTAGCACCTAACACGTGCACATGTACACGGGTATTAAAGTAAACCAAATAATTGTCCTTAGGTTTTTCTTTCAGTTGGCTTTCATCAGTATCTCCTGCTTTGTGAGAAATCTCACTGCTATACTCTTCAACACCCTAGTACAAACATTCCTCTGTACAACTCATAATATTATTGCTTTATTGCTGACACAGCTGCATCTACCAGTGTAAGGTTAACTACCGCGGCAT